CACTTGTGAAAGGGACCTCGGGGTGCTGGTTGACTGCAGGCTAAACATGAGTCAGCAGTGTGATGCGGTGGTCAAGAGGGCGAACGCCACCCTTGGTTGCACAGCCAGAAGTGTGGCTTCTAGATCAAGAGAGGTATTACTACCACTCTATACGACTCTGGTGCGCCTGCAACTGGAGTATTGTGTTCAGTTTTGGGCCCCTCATTACAGAAAGGGTATAGCCAGGTTAGAGTCAGGCAGCGTAGGGCCACAAGGTTGGTGGCCGGTTTGCAGAAGATCCCGTATGAGGCGAGACTGAGGGAACTGGGTCTCTTCAGCCTGGAGAAGAGAAGACTCTGAGGGGATCTGCTGGCAACATACAGGTATGTGAGGGGATGTCACACGGAGGTGGGTAGAGATCTGTTCTCCCCTGCTGAGGTGGGAAGGACGTGCTCCAACAGAGCAAAGCTCAGGGAACCAAGGTTTGGATGCCAGGAAGCACTTCCTGACAGTTAGGACCCTGAGGGTATGGAATGGGCTTCCACGGGAAGTGGTTGAGGCCCCATCGGTGAGGGTGTTCAAAGATAGGCTGGACATGCACATGGTGGACATGTCATGAACAGAGCTGGCTGGAGCCAGGGGGTCAGACTAGATGGCCCAGGAGACCCCTTCTTATTTGTTCTGATTCTATGTTTCTAAAATGTCACAGTGTAACCTCCATCCTAAAAAGGAATGTCCTTGTTCAGATTTCCAGCCATTCCTGCCGAATAAGGCATCGCTTTCCCCTGCATTCCCCTGCATGTTCTGTTTTTATTTTGCGACGGGCACTTTGTAGGCCATGGCTGTTGAACATGCTCATTCCTTGATGAGCAGTTTTGGGATACATCTGTCCCCTTAGAGTGTGTGTGTGTATTTGTGTGTAAAGATCTGCTGTACTTCTGCAAACCTCAAGGCTCCCCAGAGCAGTGGCTCTGTTTTGCCTAAAATCCCGGAAGGTCACTAGTAACTCGATGTTGCTAGATGAAAGAGTGACAGCAATATTCAATTACCTCAGCTAGCTTTACAGGGAGGGTCTCCGTTTCTAGGAACAATTCCCAGCTGCTGAGTACAGGTTAGGGTGGGGACAAAACAATCATCTTACCTCAGCCACTTCATCCGGAGATTGCCCCAGTGCAGTGAAGACCTCCTTGGAATAGGCCATGTAGAAGCCCTGGAATATATCCAGTGTCTCTTTATCTACTGCAGAGAGATCCATATTGGCTGCCTCTTCATAGAGTTTCCTCTCGAATTCTGTTACCACTGGCCCAGGTTCAATCAAACTGATACTGTGAATGAAATTAACAGTGAACGATGGAACACTGGCCTCATCACCTGTTGCAGAGAGAGAGAGAGAGGCAGCCCCTCACCCCTCCATGACTGAGGTTTCAGCCTGCACACAAACTTCTGGCACTGCAGCCAGCCACTTCCCTTTTGCTGTAGGACACCTGAAACTCTGTTCAGTTTTGTCTGTTATGGCCTAAGCAAGAGTAACCAACAGAACTCAGACTGCCCCTGCCAATGAAACTAATAATTTCTACTAGAAATATGAGGAATATAGGATAAATTCATTCAATTCCTACTTTCATCCCAAGAATCAGGGGGAACAATCCTATAGCAGGCATCCCAAGGACCACGGAATTGCTCCATTTCTCATGGTCAGAGGGAGTGCTGAAATGTCAGAAGGGGCATCTGGAGAGCTGACCCTTAACCTCTTATAACCAGTAAGGAAGGAAACATGCCAACTTTCTGAGATCAGAAAATTAATCTTGGAGAGGGGAAAGGGGGAGGTGGACTGGTGGGCAGAGAGAGGAGGAGATTAGAGAGGTCAAGGATATGGCTTATCCTGAGCCTCTCCCAGCCTCCTCTTCTCCCACTGCCAAGGTCCTGCACTAGACAGACTGAAAAGCCCACCTAACCAAAAAACAAACCAACCAACCAACCCAGCAATGACTGGGGAGACAAATATCAACTCAGCTATTTGTCCAGTTCTCCTGGCTTTAGCCTGACAGGGCATAGGAATCTTGGATGCCTCTGAATTCAGGAGCTTCCAAGCAGAGAGAGTGCAGTCTGTAACAGTGAAATCATAGGTACTGAAATTAAAGGAAGTTTATCCAACATCACTGGACCCTCTAACACTGAACTTGGATAGTCCCTTGCAGTGCTTTTTTTGTAAGAAAAAAGGTGCCGGAACTCATGAAATTATTTACTTTTCACGCATAGTCAATCACTGTACACACACCCACACACGTCAGTTGTGTAACGAAACATAACAGTCGCCGCCCACAGTAAGCACTCAGTGCACAACCACACGGCAAATGACAAGCCGAGCAGCGCCACAAGCCGAGCAGCGTCATCACAACCAGCACGGACGAAGTACGCATGCATTGGTCTCGACGCACAACCGGCCCTCATGCACCATTTTAATGATTTTGCCGCCGACCTGCTACACTCGACAGGGCGATTCAAATCCACGTGGACCAAACATCACGTTTTCAAAAGTTACTTTTAAAATCTGGAAAATCTGTTGAAAAAGGTGCCAGAACTCTGTTCCGGTGCATTCTATGACAAAAAAAGCACTGGTCCCTTGCATATTAGCTTGGAAGCAAAGGTAAGGAAAGGATTTTTACCTAGTTGGGGGACTTCCGCCTACACGGAACTATAATAGCTGGTAAATAAAAAGAGAAGGAAAGATTTGCCTAATAAGGACCTGCCTGCTTTCAAGACCTACAGAATGCTGTGGGTATCTGTTGTGGGGAGGAAAGGGATGACAAATGAGGGTGTGGCAGGAAGGTAAGAGAACTGGCCTGTTCACATTTCTAACAACTATAATTCTAGAGGGGAATTAGGAGTTACGGGGTGGGGGCAATGCCATAAGTATCCTGTTTGGTGGAACTTGAGAGAAGACCTTTTAAGTGGCAGTGCTCTGCTTTGGAAGTCTCTACGGTAAAGACCAATATAGCCCCTTGATAACCTTGTGCTGGCAGACAATCGATCAATCAATTAAAATGGCATTTGGACTACAAAGTTGTTTTGGATATTTATTCTGCTCTTTATTTGAATCATAATACAGTGGTACCTCAGCTCACGAACGCCTCAGTTCATGAACAAATCGGATCGTGAACAGAAATTTCATAAAAATTTTGCCACAGGTCACTAACTCTGCATCAGGTGACAATCGCGAGCGCGCCCACCTTCCCTGCACGGATGCAATCATGGTTGTGCTGGGCAGTAGGGGGTAGATGGCTGCGTTTGTGCTGGGAGGGGAGATGGCTGCGACTGAGTCCGTGTTCTGTGCCTGAGTGCGCCCGCCTCCCCCCAGTGCATCTGCACTCGCCTCTCCCCGAGCGCACCTGTGATCGCGCCCGTCTCCGCCCCCCCCCAGCAAACCCGTGATCACGCCCGTCTCCCCCCTGCACGATCGCTGGGTGCGGGGGGGGGGGGGATGGGTGCAATCTTTGTTGTTCTTTGTCACTTTGCTTCAAATTTTTGAGAGTAAAAAAATAGTTACAGAACGGATTAGCCTTATTTACATTGACCCTTATGGGGAAATTTGACTTGGCTCATGACCAATTTGGGTCACAACCAGAGTCCTGCAAGGATTAAGTTTGTGAGCCAAGGTACCACTGCACATCTTTATTGGCTGCTCTTATCTGCTTTTATTTGATTGTTGTATTGTTTTTAGAGTGTTATTACTTATGTTTATTGCTATACTGAACCATTTGACATTTTAACTTGTATTCTATTGGCCTTCAGCATTATACTTAATACTTAAACATAAAGGACATAAATTCAATTTAAAAATACGTTTTTTAAAATCCTCTCTTACTTGCATTGCATGGGGAGGAATCAAGGTATACTCAGTCTTCTTTGCATGTAGGTTTGTTGTCTGTATAGGATGCCCTATTTTTTGTTTTTTTATCTTAATGACTAACATTTAACTAATGGCCCTATCTTCCTTTAGTATCCATAATAAAGTTTGTTAAGCTATCTATTCTAAAATCTAACAAAGTACAGTATACCCCCATGGAGTCGCGGTTCAATGTTCGCAACCTCAGTCTTTCGTGGAAATTTCTGTGTGGCGGCTTGCTCGCAAGGAGATCGGTTTGGACTTGCTCGGAGAAAACAACCTCTGTGCGCGCCCGCCCCTACCTCACTACATGCACACGCCAACCCCCTGGCCCAGCCCGCGCCTCCTGCCCGCACCGCCTTGGCGGCTGGTGTCCATTGCCGGCACCAAATTCGCGGTTTTTCGCAATTCGCGGATGCTCTAGGAACATAACCCCCATGAATTTCGGGGGACTACTGTACCTTTCATACATACAAATCAATCCTTTAGAAAAATAAGAATCTTTTTGCAAGATCAGTCCCAGGGTCTATCCACCTAGTGCAGTATCCTGTTTCCTTTAGTGACCAAGCAGATGCTGGTGAAAAAACTACATAAGGGGCATAAAGACATGAGGAGGCATATTTCTTGCTATCATCCGGAGGCTTCTGGGTGGTGGCTCCTCAGCCATCATTGTGCAGCACAGAGCCAGGAGCGTGCCCCTTTTAAGTGGGCTTTCTTATTAGAGGAGGTTCCATTTACTTTCTGCATGTTATGTTATTCATTAGATTTATGTATGACTGACAAATGTAGTCAGTATCTTTTCAAGTAGTTATTTTATTTGTAATGTTAAATATCTTTTCAATTGGGAGGAAAATAGGCTGAAACAAGCCAAACAAATATTTGCAAAATTTAGCCATTCTGCCTGATAGCTTCATGAATTTGTCTAATAGTCTTTTAAAGCCAACTCAGTTAGCAGCCATCACATCCCAAACAGTGACTTCCAGGAATGAATTATGATAGAAACACACTTCTGATTCAAATGCCAAGTAATTTCATTGGCTTACTATGAAAATAGTTCCATAGCAAAAGGAAAAGACATTGTTCTATCTGGTATCATGAGACGTGATTTCAGAAATTATTTTTTAAAAGAGTAAAATAACCTTAGGGCATGTTTCCTGCACACAATTTGCAATATCAAGACAAATCTCTGCCATAATGCATAGAAACAGAGAAACAGAGAAACAGCGCGAGTCAGAAGGGGCCTCCCGGGCCATCTACTCTGACCCCCGGCTCCAGCCGGCTCCGCTCAAGACATGCCCACCATGTGCATGTCTAGCCTATCTTGGAACACCCTCACTGATGGGGCCTCCACCACCTCCCGTGGAAGCCTATTCTATGCCCCCAGGGTCCTAAGTGTCAGGAAGTACTCCCTGGCATCTAAACTGAACCTTGGTTCCCTGAGCTTTGCTCTGTTGGAGCGCGTCCTGCCCTCCTCTGCAGGGGAGAACAGGTCTCTACCCACCTCCGTGTGACACTCCCTCACATACCTGCATGTTGCCAATAGATCCCCTCTGATTCGTCTCTTCTCCAGGCTGAAAAGACCTAGTTGCCCCAGCCTCACCTCATACAGCTTTTCCTGCAAACTGGCCACAAACCCTGTGGCCCTATGCTGCACTGACTCTAACCTGGCTATATCCTTCCTGTAACGAGGGGCTCAAAACTGAACACAATACTCCAGTTGTGGGCGCACCAGAGTCGTATAGAGTGGTAGTAATACCTCTCTTGATCTAGAAGCCACACTTCTGGCTATGCAACCAAGGGTGGGGTTCGCCCTCTTGACCACCGCATCACACTGCTGACTCATGTTTAGCCTGCAGTCAACCAGCACCTCGAGGTCCCTTTCACAAGTGCTGCTCTCCAGCCACTTGTCCCCTAACCTGTACTTATGACACCCATTCCTATGCAAGGTAATATATACCAGAAAGGATGAAAACCAAGGATTTTTCCTAAACCAAGAACTTAGGAGTGAAAAGAAATTGTGGCATATTGGACATGAGGCCACATGAATAGAATATTATATGCAAGGCACACAGGGGTGCACAGCCTGTGGCCCTTTGAAAATCTCCAACTCCCATTATCCCTAAACTTTGGTCCTGCTGACTGGGGCTGGTGGCAGCTGCTGTCCAAATCATCTACAGGGTATGAGCTGGGGAAAACTGCTAGGCTAGCTTGGTATAATCACTAACCTAGTAGCACATTGGCTTGGTTCAGACAACACAACCAGCCATGGTGATTTTTAAGCAGTGTTGGTTGGTCATGTTGTCTGAACCCAGGTATGGTATTTCATCATGTTAAGTTTGATCATTAGAAACCATGATAAGAAACAGCAGTTTTTATAGCTTCTCTGTATCATCATGGTTTGCCGTGTTGTTTGAACCTGTATGCAACTACTACAGCATCCTCTGAAAAGCAACTGCAGAAGCTGCTCTAGCCATCCAGCCTCTATGTGGGGACCGATGAGGAAGAGTCAGGTGACAAAGGCAGGGAGTGATGTGCCTTGGAATTGAGTTTCAGGCATACTGGTTGATGCGATGCATGCCAACAATTGGAGGACTGTTGAAAAACCACTCAATCATCTGTCGGGTAGAAAACGGTAAAAAACTGCAAACTACGGGTAACTATGCAGGGTTGCATATTGCAGCCATTATGAACTGCAAGTCCTTTTCAGTGGCAGGAGAAACCCAAACATGGTATAGAACAACAATATCCCCAACTCCCAACACTCACTTGATCCCAAATTTCAGAGCCTGCAGTGCCAGGCTCTCACAGAAACCTTCCACAGCAAATTTGGACGCAGAGTAGATGTCATTGAAGAGAAGACCTGCAGGAATGGGGTGTGGGGTGGGGGGAATATTGACCAGGGAAAAAGTTATTTCTGTGCATATCCTTTTATTCTAGAGCAGAGATAGGCAATGTATGAGCCTCTGGATGGTGTTGGACTGCAATTCTCACCGTTCCTCACTATTGGTTCTGCTGGATAGGGCTGATCGGTGTTGCAGTCCATTGTTATCTGGAAGGCCCCACATTATCCACCTTTGCTCTAGGGAGAAACACAAAACAAGAAACTCCGTATCAAAACAGGAGTCCCATTTCAGTTGGGTTGCCATTTTTCCAGCTGCTCTTGCTTCTTTGCTTTTAACAACCCAACATACAGAAATCAAACAGGTAGCTAGTCATGGATAGTTGTGAAAACACTTTTCAAGCATTGCATGCTTTTTTCTCAGTATACTAAACAGGTAGAATATCTCCTATGGCAGCAAGAGAGATGTGGCAAATAGTATCACGTAAATTACAGTTTGTGCATGCAAGATCAACATTATGGGGAAAACCACATTTTAAAAAAGGCAACAAAACATCTGTTTGGTGAACTTGGCCTAGCTAATGGATCCCAATCATAATTTCATGCCATGCTCTGCTTTGCATGCTAAATATGATTTGTCAGTCGCTGCTGAATGACGGTGTTTGCAACTGGAGCATTTGCTTGAATCTAGGTTTGGCTCCAATGCAGAGCTTCAGAAGCTCTACATTATTGAAAGTATTGATAGAAACTGAGCATCTATATTGATCTACAAGATTTTAATCAAGAATGGAATAACAAATTGAACTGCCATATCTTGCCCAACCAATGGATTGCTGCATTGGCCTCTGTCTCAAAGGGGTTAATGAATCTTAGGCTACATCTAATTCTGCAAAAGCTTATGTTTCAGATATATTGGATACTATGATGTTTTAAATAAGGGATTGTTTAAAACAGCTAACTGTTAATAGTACAGTTAGGCATAAACAGTTAGTGCTTCCCTTACTCACTTGTTTCAGCAATGCCAAATGAACACCTCTTTTGGGGAGAAGGTTACAGTTATAGATAAACTCTATGATGAAAAGTCCTTTAATTTTCACCGATGTGCATATTCTTCCTCCATCTGCCTGCTTCTTGGAACTTAGCACAAGGTTGTTGTAAAAGGATTCGCCATGCACCTTTGACAGCTAAAATTCTAATATTACAATGCTGGGAGTGCAAATGACCACCTTTGATAATAAAAATAGGTTAGGACTTAATGATATTTTCAGTTTCTGAACTACTCTTGCACTGTAATCTACAAATGGACAATTATATGGAGATCAGATCTGCCTTTTCTCAAGTTTACATATGATTATGCCAAGAACATCAGTATATCTTGTTATATATAAATAGATATAGGGGTACACTTTGCACATATTTCTATTGTAATGAATATTTCCAACCTCAAGTTAGAAAATTATTACTTTATTTTAATGTTTGTGTTTTATTTTAATTTTGTTTCTGTTTTACCAAACGTCACAAACAAAATCCTAGTAATGATTTTGAAAAGACAGAGGAGCTGGATCAGTCAGAGTGGCTGTAGCCCTGCTCAAAATATGGGAATTCAGTCATGATACAGATTCCAAAGTGGGGATCTTGCTAGCATAAAAGAAACCACCTCATTCATTAGACTAAGTGAAATTACAAGAATGGACTGTTTACTTTATGAGCAGTAATTAAAAAGAGCTCAGCATGGAAGAAAAAACCAAGGCGATGCCTCCTTGCAAAGCACTCTGCAAAAGAGACAACAGTACAGAAAAGAAGGACAAATTTTTAGGGGTTCAAGAAAAGCTGTGCATAAGAAGGTCTACCACACAGATCATGAACAGGGTTAAAAATAAAATCAAAAGATCTCTGTGTTTTATTTCACAATATCCTATTCAGGATAGTCATCGGTGTGGAAGACCCTAACTGGGTCAAACAGGCTGTTGGAGAAATGTATGCAGGATGTGAGAGATTTCTTGCTGCTATTTCCTTGTGGTCAGGAGAGATCCTCCCCGGCAGGGACCTGACTTTGGGTTCCCTTCCCCTGCCTTGTAGACCCTTCGCCCTGCTAGAAATAGCTGTGTTTGCTTGCATAACTTGATATCAAGTTCTTTACTCTGTAGCAAGAGAGGGGAAGTAGAGCTCAGTGGTGGAGTCGAAGAGTCTTAATCTCCAGAAAGGGCTGGAGTTGGCAAAAACGCCTGTCTGAAACTCTGCCAACATCCTAAATTAACTGGATAGACCAATCACCTAACTCAGCATAAAGGCAACTTATTTTGTAGACATCTTCCTGCCATGTACTTGTTTTCCACTTGCTAGGCCAGATAAGGTACATAGGAGGAAGGAGACAAGGAACTGGTGGATGGGCGGGGCTGTTTCCCTGGAAGGAGTTGGCTCGAACAGCTTTTTGTCCTTCTGTCTGAGGCACATACTACAGTTAACATGAGGCTAATTGTGTGTAGGACACACACGCATTGGTGCACGGAGCAGGGATGGTCAGCATGTGGCCCTTCAGTTGATGTTGAATTGCATCTCTCATAATCTCTCACCATCGGTTATGCTGGCTGGGGCTGGTGGAAGCTGCAATTCAACAACCTCTGGAGGGCCACATGTTCCATATATGTCACAGAGGAACCTTCTCCCCATTTGGCAAGGTGGCACAGGAAATGCAGCTTCCCTGGTGGTTACTTGCACCTTGTGGAAAGTCACTGTTTAGTAGAGATTTTATATTCTCCTTGTTGAGAAAGAGAGACATCCGGGGTTTCAGGAATGGAAAAACAGCAGGCTGAGGAAATGGGGAATACTGGGCAAAGGTTTCAGCAGATGGTTCAAAGCTGAGTGGGGAAGTCTAGAAGTGGAGAACCATAGCTCAGTGGTAGATCATATGCAGCTTTCATTCTCTCTGGCTGAGGCCAGTCAGAGCAGGCAAGATGGAATAATGGAGTGACTTGATACGGAGGCAACTTCATCTATTTCAAGAGGAAGAAATGAATGACCCATATTCAGAAGGAAAGAACTGTACTGCTTCATCTGCCTTTCTTCCTCAGCTACCCATTGTCATCATCCCGTTCTTCGACTGACATATGCTGCCTAGAGGGATCTCTGGGCAGAGTCCAACTCCCATCTTCAATCCCTCCTGACTGAGTTTCACCTTGCAAGCCCAGGACGCTGCTCATCACAACGATGTGGCCCTGTTTTCGCCGCTTCATATCAGGGAAGACTTCCTGGATAAGACGCACCAAACCAAAGAAGTTGGTGTCAAAGAGACGCTGTATTGAAGCCATGTTCTGGCTCTCTACTGGACCAATCATGCCTAGTCCGGCATTGTTAACTGCAAAGAGAGGATGCAGAAACAAGTTAACAACAGAAGTGAAGCCTTTTCCCTTGTAGCACACTAACAGTGGAAGGAGCTTCTCAGGGAAGCTTAGTTTCTGCCTATGGCATGGTCTTTTGGGTGCCAGGTAAAGACCTTCTTTTTCCTGGCAAATGTGAGATATTGGGCTAGGGGCATCCAAGTCTGATCCAAATGTTTTGAGAAGGGTACCTAATAAATTTTAATAATGATTATAATGAGAATCATAATAATAAAGGAGGATACAACCAATGTCAGCTGAGCCCAGCACTAGTCAGGCTGTTCTCTGCAGGAGAGAAATCAGGAACTTTTAAGAAAAGAAACCCACTTCATCTGAGATGGGATAGGATTTGGTTTCCTACCAAGCACATCCACTCTGCGTTGGGGGATACTGTCCACACACCGCCGAATTGACTCCGCACTAGTGACATCCAATTCCTTGAGTTCCAGGGTTGTCTTAAGCACAGACCCTGCTTGTTTCTCAAGGGCTTGCCTCTTCTCCAAGTTCCTCATGGTGGCAATAACTAAGAAAGTAGAGCAAGAGTCAGGAGTTACATGATATCACTGTACCCATGTGAAGGAGAATCTGCTTGGGATGTAGTTGGGATCCCCTTGGGAACATCAAAGGTGTGAGCAGGGGATGGGGGGACACTGACAAACTAGAGTTAGTGCTCCAGGATACTCTTCTGCTGAGGATGAAGTCTACCAATGTGCAAAAAGGCAAAGATGTTCAGGATACTAAGCGTCACCCTTAACAATCAAGGTGGAGAATCCATGGGTTTAACAATATCGGGGTGCATCTCTTGCTTCAGATTGCAGGTGGGGTACTGGATATTTATTAATTTAAAACCTTACAATGGAAAACAAAATGTGTGCTTGGATGCATTTGTGCAAGCATGCGCACACCTCACTGCACGTAGAAAATGAGCATGTCAGAAAAAAAAATAGCTTAGAAATTTCTCCTTGACGGGCAAAACATCTAGGCTTGGTTCCTGACAACCAAGCTGTTTCTCTGACACACAAACCCAGTCATATAATTGCATTCATAAAAGTTACAGGCCCATGTTTTATTTACATTCTTAGTAGAGCACCTGCATAAATGTATCTGCTTTAATCACTTGTGGCCCACAAGAAACACTGAACCACCAGCTATAAATTGCTGGTTGCAGTCAAACGTGGTTGACAGTGGGTTTAGTACAAAGAGTGGGATGTTTGCCTGTGTCTTGCAACAAACCGATGAGGTGGTTAGCTAAAGAGAAGGCTCAAGCAAAGCCACACTGGGGTGGACAGGGTTAAAGAACCCTTTGGCTAGCTCTTGTGGCAGTGAATCAGTGGGGAGGATCAATATCACCAATTCACTTTCTGCCCCTACTCAGATCAAAATATCGTTGCCTCTGAAAAATACCTTGTTTACCAAGGAACTAGTCTCATTTATCTACTGTTTCTCTAACCTTTGCACTCTGTCTTGGAACTCAAACAGCTCATCCGGGTGCAAAGCTTGGTGAGTACTGAATGCAACAGCAGGTTTGGGGATGGAAAATTAGATCAAGCTCTCTGTTTCAACCAAGAAGTTGAGTTCCTCCCACCAGTAGGCCCCTCACCTTGGAATCGCTTTAACTCATCTCTGGCCAAATGCACTGCCACCGCCAATCCAATGCCAGAAGAACAGCCAGTCACGAGCACATTCCGAACAGCCATATCCTGGCCTGCAGAAAGGAAAGGACAAACATCCAAGGAAATCCTCAGGAAGTGTACAAAGGGTCACAGTTAATGGTTCAGAGAAAGTTGGGGCTCTCTACTTTGACACAGATGGAAAGTTCAGCAGTCAAAAGATCAAGCTGTGAACCAGAGAGCCCCTAGTTCAAATCTTGCTCCTGACAAGAGTTCAGGAGGTAGCTTTAAGAAAGCCAGCTCTGTCTCGTCTACCATTCCTCCCCTTCTTCTCCTCATCTAATACTATGGAGCGAATGAGAATTATAATAAACCATATTGTATAACTATTGTAAAAATGACTAAACTAATGTATGTGAAGTGTTTTAGATATTAGGAAGCATACAGCACTAGTACTACTAGTAATAAACTAAAAATGCTATTTGTTTTTGATAAGGAATATAGACAATTATCATATTCACCCTATCCTTGATGTTGTCTCTTCTTCTATTGTCTTTCTCACTACTGAAAGTTAAATTGTAAACTCCATTTTTTGCTCATCTAATTTAATAAAAGTGCAATGTATCTTGACAGCACTTGATAATTTCATTGGCCAAGTGAAGTAAGATTTTTGGTCTAATACAGCTATTTTCATTGTAGATTTGTAGGTAACAACTGAAATGTCACACTGAAATAACATAATGAAATTTGATACACACACCCAGGATGCAATTCTATGGCTCAAGCTCAAATGCCAGTTCACATACCTCACCAATTTACATAACAGTTTGTTCGTAATTTTAAATCCCTGCAATGCACCATCTCCATTTAAGAGTGAGATACTGGAATAAAAGAAGACACGCGTGCTCATGGGTAACACTCTGTGTTTTAGGTTTGAGCCTCCGTACCTGTCTTCAGGCGGCCCACCAAAGATATTGAACGTGATGCAATAGATATTATACTGAAATGTGATACAATTAGGACACAATCTCCTTTTAAGTTTCAAATGCTAGTCCTCCTTACACCCATTTTATGAGATGAGGAAGGGATGAAGAAATATGGTTATTCATATTTTGTTATATGCTAATAAAAAGTACTTCCACAGGAGTTGTACCAAGTCATTTAAAAACAACAGAACAACTAAAAACCCAACCAAACACCTAGCATAAATACTCAATTACACAACCATGTAAGAGAGTAAAATACAGTACAAATCCTAAGAGGTAAAACCACCAACAATGCTCAAAGGACTAAGATGACAAGACTGTAAAAAGCCTGGGAAAACAAAAACAACTTAGCCTGGTGCTGACAGGACAGTGAAATGGGTACCAGGTGAGTTTCCACTAGCAGGTCCAGCTCGTTACTCAGAGCAGGATACCAAGTTAAACCATCATCTCAGATGGCTGTTCTGTTGTATCATGAATGCCTCCAATGTGGGAGAGCCCACAGTCGCCCAAGGTTATTGGTTCCTGTGTCGTACTGCTCTTACAGTCAGGAAATAGTTCTTGCTATCTAGCCAGAATCTGCTTCCTGTAACTTGAGTCCATTATTCCATGTCCTTCACTCTGGTATGACTGAGAACAGATCCTGGACTTCCTCTTTGTGACAGCCTTTCAAGTACTTGTAGAGTGCTACTGTATCTCCCCTCAGTCTTCTCTTCTAGGGACTAAGCATGCCCAGTTCTTTCAATAACTCATCACAGGGCTTTGTTCCCAGTCCCTGGATCATCCTTATTGCCCTCCTCTGAACCCTTTCCAGCTTTTCTGCATCTTTCTTAAACTGCCCAGAACTGGGCCTAACCAGTGCTGAGTAGAGGGAAACTAGTACTTCATCTGATCTGAAAGTAACACTTCTATTAATACAGCTTAAAATAGTATTTATAGCCAAATCACATCGACTCATATTCAGCTTGTGATCTAAAACTACTCTAAGATCCTTCTCACTCGCAGTTGTTGAGCCAAGTATTCTTCATCTTGTTAACAATGCATTTGGTTTCTTTTTCCTAGGCGCAGAACTTGACATTTGGCCCCACTGAATCTCATTCTGTGGCTTTCAGCCCAGCTCTCCAATCTATCAAGATTACCTTGAATCCTCTTTCTGCCTTCCTGGGTATTAGCTATCCCACCCAGTTTGGTGTCCTCTGCAAATCTGATAATCATTCCCTGTACTTCCTCATCCAAATCATTAATAAAAATGTTGAAGAGCACTGAGCCCAGGACTGAACCCTGCAGAGCCCCACTTGCTACCTTTGCTCAGTCTGAGAAGGTGCTATTGATGAGCGCTCTTTGGATCCAGTTCTGTAGCCAACTGTGGATCCACCTGATCGCTGTTCCATCTAGCCCACCTTTTAGCTAGTTTGCTAAACAGGATCTCATGGGGAACTTTGACAAAAGCCTTGCTGAAGTCAAGATATACTATGCACACAACATTCCCACAGTCCACCTGGGAGGTTATCCAATCAAAAAATGAAATTAGATTAGTCTGGCAGGATTTGTTCTTGAGAAATCCATTTTGGCTTCTAGTAATCACTGCATTGTTTTCAAGGTGTTTGCAGACTGCTTTATAATCTGCTCTAGAATTTCCCCAGGGATTCTGTTTATTTATTGCATTTACATACTGTCCTAATAACCCAGAGGGACTTTAAAACTCTATGTAAAGCAATAAAAGATAAATGCAACACACTAAAAACAGCACTAAAAAAATACAAAGTAACTCTGTATAAAATTTCAAACCCCACAATGTAGCAGCAGCAATACAATATTAAAATAAAAATATATAAAAATTTTATTCAATCAATTTTTAAAATAACTGATGAATAAAAAGATTTTTATATGAGCAGATAAAGATATTTATCTACTTTATCCTACTTCATCCCCACTTCGCCTACGCTGGCCATTGGATACTCCAATGCCATGTTTCCCCTTACATATAATTATATTAATTATATATATTAACCATTATTAAAGCCAAATTCCACTAAAACTACTGCCATATTTATCACTATAAAGTTACCCTCGACTAAATTCACCCAACTTAAAAAAAAAAAGAATTCCAGCCCAAGCAGGTGCCAAATGGGTGATGCTCTTTGGCAGTGCTCTTCAGCTGCCACCCTGGCAGTGTCCACAGTAAAAAGGCCCGAGTGTTAGAAGCTCCACGCCGAGATCCCAGGTGTGAGGCCACATGGGCTTCTTCTGCTGTATTCTACTTTTTTTCCTTGCAATTTTGCCCTTAGAATTTCATTTTTTTTAAATTGCCACCCATGTTGGACTCCTTTTCTCATTAGAGTCACTTGAAGACTTTGATCTACAGTAAGTTTATTAAAATTGGCTTTCCTCAAGCCCATGGTACATGTTCAGCTATACAGTGGTACCTTGGCTCACGAACTTAATCCGTTCCATGACTCTGGTTGCAATCTAAAATGGTCCTGAGCCAAGTCAAATTTCCCCATAAAGTTCAATGTAAATAAGGTTAATCCGTTCTGTAACTATTTTTTTTGGTCACAAATATTTGAAGCAAAGTGACAAAGAACAACAAAGATTGCAGCCATCTCCCCCCACCCCCTGAGCACGAGCACAGCCATCTCCCCCGCCAGCATGAGCGCGATCGCACCCGTGTTCCCTGCACAGGCGCGATTGATCGTGGGCGTGCTCGGGGGGGGGGGGAGACAGGCGCAATTGCGGGTGTGCTGCGGGGAGGCAGGCGCGATCACAGGCGTGCTCGGGGTGGGGAGACAGACATGATCATGATTGTCACCCAATGCGGAGTTCACGACCTGAGTAAATTTTTTTCCTAAATTGTTGTTCGTGACCTGATTTGGTCATGAACTGAGGCGCTTGTGAGCTGAGGTACCACTGTACTTGGCTTTTGCCTCCTTTAGAATCAAGAATTCAAGTATGCCTTGGTCACCTTCCCTGAGTTCTTGTAAGCTGCCACTTTGTCCACTAGGACTTCCCTGTTGCTCCGTATCAAATCAAGGATAGCCATTCCTCTTGTTCCTTCCTCCACTTTCTGTTGGAGAAAGTTATCAGCAACACATGTTAGGAATCTCTAGTAGGGGCCGTCTTTGGCAGAATTTGTCTTCCAGTGGATATCAGGGAAACTGAAGTCCTCCATAACTACAATATCATGCCTCCTTGAGTAATTTTGAAAAGCAATGTGCTTTTCAAAAGTTTCAACCTTGTTTTCTCCTTGACTGGGTAGTCAGAAATAGACTCCAACCACTGCGCTCCTTTAATTCTTTCCTCCATTTATATTAATCCTGATGCTCTCAGAAGCTCTTAGGGCTTCTAAGCTCATCCTCCAGTATTTCTGTAGAGAGATATGTATCTTTAACATATAATGTGACCCTGCCTTCCTTTCTGTTCTCGAACAGGTTATATCCTTCAATGGTCAAATTCCAGTCATGGAAGTCATCCCACCAAGTTTCACTCAGGTTGTACTCAGCCTCCAGTATTGTAGTTCATGATATTTGTTTCCCATAGGCCAAGCATTAGTATGTAGACATCAAAGACCATGTGCTTTAGCTTGCTTGTTACATTTTTGGAAGACTATTATTGGGCACAGTTAGAGCTGTTCTCTCTGTTTTGTCTGTTGTTGCACCCAGGTATACTCCTTCCCCTTTAGGATTCAGTTTAAAGCCCTCCTGATAAACTTTGTGCTGTGGACAAACACATTCTTTCCAGTTCTTGTAAGGTACAACCCATCCCTTGCCAGCAGTCCATCTTCAAGGAAGGAAGTGTAGCCTGTGAAAATCCAAATCTCTCATGTTGGCACGACTTTCATAGCCAGGCACTCACCTGGAGTATTTTTCTTTCCCAGTCTATTCCTCATCCTAGCACTGGAAGTATTGAAGAGAACACTATCTGGGCCCCAAAGTTCTTGACTTGCCTCCTGAAAGCTTCAAAGTCTGACCTGATCTCTTCAAAGCACCACTTGGCAGTGTCATTTGCTTTCACATGTATAAGGAAGAGATACATGTCAGTGGGCTGTATGAGCCCTGGCAATCCTTCAGTAATATCACTAATCTATCCTCCAGGGAGGCAGCATACCAGATGAGTTCACAGGTCATCCTGACATACGAGTATGTGTTTCCATCCCATGCAACAGGGCGTCTCCCACAACTAACACTCCTCCCTTCATGTTCCTGCAAGACTTGGTATCATTGCCACTACCTGGTAGCCTCTTGTTCAGTGCTGCATGGTATACTTGCAGTTCTACAGCAGGCCGTCCTCCAGCCTCAATGGGCATCAAAAGACCTATGCCTGGAGACTACCTTCAGAACTTCAGACTGAGGGGGCACCTGAGGATGGGCTTCTGTAGATGACCTCAAACCATGAGTAGGTACCTAATGCAAAATATATGACAGTGCAATATCAGAATAGGCTTTATACCTTTGGGCTGCAATCCTCAAGTGGAAGAAAGCCCCACTGAAGACAGTAGGTCTTACATCTAAGGTAAAATGCATATGATTGGGGTGGTCTGCCAAATCTTTCAGGCACAACTCTTAGCCCAGAGTTGGGAATGGATGCAGTACCCATAATCCTATCCTTTGTGCTGACTGTTCAAACCAGAGGCCTGGCAAAATCAGGGAGAGAGACTAAGCATTCAGAGTCACCTAGTAGACTCATCTCCTACCATTTGCGACTTAAGAGTACAGAATCCAAACCATATCAGCTCCTTTCTTGCCTTAAAAGAATAAGGCATAAATGTAACCACTAGATTCCATCTCCTCCATGTCCTTCCTATGCTCCTTCCAAGTGGAAATCAAGATTAGCTTACCATTATTTCAAAGATCCTCTCCTGCCAGGTCATTGTATAATCCACTTGCAAATAGAACACAATGCTCTTACTAAGATGACCCCTTTTCTAATCCACATGGCAGAGCAGACAAACCTGTGCGACCGAGCTAGACAAAACATAGCTTTAGCTCCTCCCTGGAGCCCTGTAACTCACTCAGTCCTCCTTTGCCATTCTTACTAAGTACATTTCCCACCACACACCTGCTCCCTCAGTTCAAATACCAAACACTGGATTTAGCACATGACCATCCAAGAGAGGGGAGCAAAACAAGTTTATTAAAAGAAAAAGACACGGGGTAGAGGATGCTAAAACATTACGGATAAAAGGATACAACAGGAAAAAAGGGAAGGGAAGAGGGAAGTTTGAAAGTAGCAATTGTACAGTTTACAGCCAACCAAGCACCCCCCACCCCCAATTTTGGGGTCTTGTTGAACCATTCGGACCTAGAAACAACAAAGTTAACCCTCTTCTAGAAACTCTACCTTATACCAGGTCATGGGACACAGGCATCACAGAATTCTTTGGCACAGAAAACAGACAGGAGAGTGGAACCCCCAAAAGAGGAACAAAGAGCTTCACTGTTCCCTGGCCTTTATCCTCCCCCCACTACTGGTCATAGAATCATAGAAGAGTAGAGTTGGAAGGGGCCATGAAGGCCATTGAGTCCAACCCACTGTTGTTGCAGGACACCAGTTTACACCACCCCACTCAGATGGCTGTCCAGTTTCTTTTTGACTGTCTCTAGTGTGGGAGAGCCCACCACCTCTCTAGGCAGCTGGTTCCACTGTTGTATTGCTCTGAAAGTGAGGAAACTTTTCCTGATAGCTAGCGAAACATGTCCTACACTCTGGTATCAGCAAGAAGAGAGCTTGACCTTCCTTTGTGACAGACTTTGAGGTACTTATAGAGGGATATCAGGTCCCCCCCCCCCCACGTCTTCTCTTCTCAAGGCTGAACATGCCCAGTTATCTCAGCTGTTCCTCATACAGAAGGGTTTCCCCAAACCCTGGATCATTTTTCTTGCCCTTCTCTGGACCCTTTCTATTTTTTCTGCATATTTCTTAAATTTTGGTACCCAGAACTGGACACAGTATTCCAGATGGGGTCTGACTAGCAAGGCGTATAGGGGAGCTACTACTTCTTGTGATTTGGAAGTAATACTTCTGTTAATGTATCCCAAAATAGCATTTACCCTTTTGGTGGCTGCATTGCATGGCTGGCTCATATTTAATCTGTTGTCCACAATTACTCCAAGATCTTTTTTTCTTTTTCAGTCCTGTTGAGCCACATATTCCCCATATTTTATCAATGCATTTGGTTTCTTTTTCCTAGGTGGAGGACTTGGTATTTGTCAATATTGAATCTCATTCTGTTGTTTTCAGCCCAGCGTTCAAGTTTATCAAGATCGCCCTGGACCTTCATTCTATCTTGCAGGGTATCTGCTATTCCAGCCAGTTTTGTATCACCTGCCTATCTTATTGTTGTCCATAGGGTCCTGATGGGTTGGATGCAACTTTGCAACTAACAACAACAACAAATATCTTATCTTTCCTTGCGCTTTCTCATCTAAATCATTAATAAAGTTATTGAAGAGCACTGGGCCCAGGACTGAACCCTGTGGCACCCACTAGTTACCTCCTTCCAATCTGAGAAGGTGCCATTGATGAGCACTCTTTGTGTCCAATTTAGCAGTCAATTTTGGACATGCCTAATAGTCTTTCCATCTAGTCCACTTTTTGCTAATTTGCTTGTCAGCATGTTGTGGGGCACTATGCTGAAAGCTTTGCTAAGGTTGATGTGGATTATTTCCACAGTGTTCACTCTGTCTATTGGGAGGTTACTCAGTCAAAAAATAAGATTAATTTTACAGGATTTATTTTTTGATTAATCTATGTTGGCTTCTATCAATCACTACATTTTCTTCAAGATGCTTGCAGACTGATTTTTTAAAAATAATTTTCTCCAGAATCTTTCCAGGGATTGACGTCAGCCTAACTGGTTTGCAGTTCCCAGGTTCATCTTTTTTCCCTTTTTTGAAGATAGGGACATCATTAGCCCTTCTCCAATCGTCTGGCATGTCTCCTGTTTTCCAAGATTTATCAAAGATAATAGCCAGTGGTTCTGAGAGTTCCTCTGCTAGCTCTTTAATGACTCTGGGAAGAGTTCACCAGGCCCTGGAGATTTGAACATGTTTATTCCTTCTATGTATTCCTTGACCATTTGTCTGTCAATCTTGGGCTGCCATCTCTCACTTTCAGCTTGTACTTCCTTTTGGTTGTAGATTTCCCTGTGGGAGAAGACTGACTCAAAGTAGGACTTGACCCAGCTGGCTCAGAAAGAGATTGCCCATCTCCTAATCCTTGAGGCCAACCATTTACTCCGGGTGTCAGTCAATAAATCAGCTCTGTTATCTCTGGCATCCATGAGGCCATAATTTTGTATAACTTCCAAAAATACCTCACAAAGGGAGAGTAAATCCCAAGGGTGCCAGATTCCCACTAAGTTGGCACCAGAATTTATAACATTTAACCATTAATGCTTTAACTATACACTCACTCCTGGTGAGCCAAAAAGCCATTTCATATTACAGCATTTCAGACACTGGCCCGGTTTCAACAACCCGGTTCTATCCAGGGAGTCTTAGGCTAATGGAATGGAATAAACGTCTAATAAATAAAATAATAAAGAAACACTAAGATACAAACATGCCTTGTAACCAGCTGTGCCACTCTCTCTCTCTCTCTCCTCAACACAGCACAAATAACCCCAGAAATCTTCCATTAATCCTAGTTTCCCAGTACATCCAAATAAGGAACCACAGATACACTGGAACAAGCTAAGATAATAAACCATGGTGTGAACTTAAACATCCTAGCTTCCTCTAAAACCTATAATCAATTTTCTAGTTCAGACATAATGCAAATATATTGGCAAGCTTGGAGTGGCGACTGGGAGGCATTATGCCATACAAAGTGATTCGTGCAGAATCAAAATGTTGATCCTCCCACACTGCTATATGCTTAAGGTTGACCCAAGCCTTAATTTAGATTACAAAGTCACCGATTACTAATTTGTTAGTAAACTGGCAAAAAAGATTTAAGTGTATACACCATACATGAGTAAAATTACAGGGTTGAGAAGATGCCAGGGCATTTAAAAAAACTCAGTATCCTGATCTTGAATACGTCACTCAGAAGGGCCCAATGTATAGCTGGGATTGTTACCTGATAGTTTCTTACTTATAGGTATATGGCTATTCATTGGTGAAAGTGTGTTATTGGTGGTAGCCCAAGACTTGAGTAGAAGGACACATCCTATTATCCTTATTCATTTATAAACATATTGTCAATGTTTGGCATGGGGTATAATATTCAATGGTGGGATGGGGAGCTTGCCCAAAGATGAAACAATGGCCTGCACACAAACCTGAGTCATCTCATAGATGGCACTTATCAGTGTGGCTGCCAGGTGGGATACATACACCTAGTTCATTCATGCTTGTAATTACACAGGCCAGCATAATTGAGATTAATACTAAAAAGAATCATTAGGCCAAAGACAATGCAGGGAGCAGTCTCCCAGGGCTTTTGCCAGCTCCACCCAGTATTGCTGGCCAAATCATACTTGGGACTTGTTTGTGGATTCTGAACCAGGGGAAGGGCCATCGCATATTCAGGCGGCCTGCGTATCTCTGCAAAGAAGCAGGAACTGGGAATTCCTCAAAGGTTCTAGTACTCTTGGCAGCATGCATGTTCGCTTTTTCGGGCTCACAGAAAAAACGTCTGCAACAGCGGGGGAGCCTCTTCAGCTAGCAATCTACTTTCGCCCCAGGGAGCAACCCCCCCCCACACACACACCAGCCGGAGGGGCGATTACTAGCCTCGTCATGGGGGATTAATTTCTCAGATTACCAGACTGAGGGAAAAAACCTTCACCAGGGGGGTCAACCTGCAAAATCCAGGCTGGGAAGCAGAAGCAGGAGTCACAAGATCGCGCCCCTCCCTCGCTTTCTCTCTCACGCATAAAACAGCACAAAACCACAGCCGAAGCGTTCCCGATAGTGCCTCGGGAAGAAGAAAGCTACAGAGGCGCCTGGCTGGCTAGAACCTTTCCCGCGCCAGGATGGTGCCCTCCTCTCCGAGGCCTGCCAGGGACCCAGCTCGATACACCGTAGGCGCTCCCGCCCCTCTCTGAAATCCTCGCAGGATGCGAGTCCTGGCTCTCCCCGAGAGGCAGACTTTCCAAAAGCACAGTGTCAGCCTGGCTGCCCAGACGCACTGGTGCACCGCTCCAGCCGCTCGGCTTCCCGCTGTTCCTACCTGCTGCTCCAGCGCTGGAATTCCCCCCCTTCTCCGCCTCTCGCATTCACTCTCGGGCGGGTGAAGGACAAACGAGCCCGCCCAGCCGGGAGGACGCCGGGCGTTGTAGTCCTGTTCTGCCGGGGCTGCTCCCCTCCCCCTCATCTTCCTCCCCCAACCCTGCCTTTCCAGGAATAGGGAAAAGAAACAAACCACGGTGGTTAGGGTGCGCGCTGCTTTGAAACGATTAGAACAGGTAATCGAGGAGAGGTTTATAAGCCATGCGAGTTAATGGATCCTCTGGGATGAGAGGCAGCATCTCTGCGAGCACCAGTTGCGGAATGGCGGACCTTACAGCTTTCAGATCTTGCTTATGGAGCCTCTCTGGTTGTCCACTGAGCCAAACAGGATCCCTCTGGTTGGCTCTTTCAGAATCCCGGAATCTCAATTTGAGAAGAGGGAATAAAACACGGGTTCGTGGGAAAGACCAAGTGTCCAGACCATCTGAGGCTTTATTGTTTTACCCCAAGGTTCCCGCGGTACACTCACGATAATACAGGCTGCATTACCGGGCAGGCAGAGATGAACTCTGCTGCAAAGCTTCAATACCATTACAGGGCATTTATAGGTACACAGGTACAGGACAATTGATGACAGAATGCAGAGATTACAATAAGATTCTGAGGTCATCACATACAGAACAGATAAAGGAATGTCAGTCAATCACACTGTAACAATGAGATTAGTATTGACACTTTAGTTGAGTAACTTGAACCCATCTCCAGGTCTGCTCAGACATGCAAATTCAAGCCACTAGAAACTATTCATGATAAGCTCAGACCCCTATCTCGACTCTAAACATTCTGCATGATCAGGGCACATGAAGCCCTCTGGGCTATCAAAAGATTATTGTAAACTGAATTCCAACAATGACTATTTATAATGTATATTTGGGCTAAAATGGCCTACTGTAGGTGAGAGAAAGGAGTGGGGAGGGAATGCCATTTTAAACAGTGACTGCTTGGTTTTGAGAAGGAAGACAGGATTTGATCCCCCAATGCAAAGGCACACAGGAGTAATGCTTTTCAGACAGGAGTTACCCAAATTTTCCCAACAGCTCCGACTGCTTTTTTAGTGCTTTTCTTTTGGATTCTAATAATGAAGCAGGATTCCAGGATGGGCACACTTGAGCCTCTCTGTGTATTGGGGTCCCACACCAACAAAGCTCTCAGCTTCCTGTCCAACATTTCAAATTAAAAAGAAAGACCTTGGAAAAACGTTAGGGCAATCTTCTTTCTCTCTCTTTCAAGCCTTTGGTTTTGCTTTCCTGCAGCCACCACTACTTCGGCTCACTCTT